AAAACCACGCTGTTTTGACTCTCGTGTATACCAATGTTCCCGAGTCCACATGTGGCACAATAAAAGGCAAGTTGCAAGACGATCGCAACCAGGGTAGTTCCATCTGCGATGCGATTGGTGTTCGGGTTGAGCCTTAAATGCTGTAACCCCTAGCGCGTCACGCAACCTTAATGTACTCTAGTGAATCTCGAATTTTTCGAGTAACGCTGGACTCAGCAGAAAAGACAGAGGCTCTCATGCTCTCAGCAGTTCGTCTTCGCAACTCACCGAGCGGAGTGTGCATCCTACCCGATCTCCCAAAAGAAGCAAGTGCCCAACGCGGCGTTCCTAATAGGGATAGGAAGAAAACAATATTTCTTCATGGTGTTCCCGAATTTCCGCATTCTTCTGATCATGATGCGCAAACACATGACCGAGAGCAGTGATGCTAAATCCGCGAGGCACTCTGTGTTGACAATCTTATTGTCAAGTCCTTGACAAATGTTCCGTCATCACCTAACTACAAGGGCTGCTGTTCAAGACTAATGAAAGTAATACTACACTCCGAGGGAATGACGCAAGTTCTGTTGGATATTTGGTTAAAGTTTCGAGCTAGGTTGCCAACAGAGATCCGCCTAAAGGCATCAGACGAACGGCCAAGAGTCGTAAGTAATTCGATGGAATTTGCAAACGCTGCAAATTCTCTATCTACACAGTCGTGCGCCGAGATTGACACAACAGGACCCACGACACACAACCAGACAGAGCACAGCACGAGTGGAACATCTGTTCAGGAAAGCTCAATAATGCCATGCAACACGACTGAAATACATAAACCAAAAGCGATTAATGGCCGGCCACCTAACGGCCGGCTTAAAAACTAACGCAAATTAGACATCCATCAATGCACTCCTAAGAACAAAAACCCTATCTTGTATGTACAAACGCCCAAGGCCTTCTAAGTAACTTGGCCGAACTTAGAGAACTCCACGACTCACAACCGCAGGACCTAGTCAGGATTACAGAGACCTTGTTAAACTTTGAGATAACCGATCCTGGGATCCATTTACCCGGTATGTCGCTACCTCGAAACGATAGAAGCGGTAGGGGTGGTGGTGTGATTCTGTATTATAATACAAGCGTTTGATGTATAGTTATCCATCACCCAGAAATCCGAGCTCCTGATTCGCTTTGGTGCCGCCTATGGTTG